GTTGCTGGTACCCCAGAGATACCAGATTTGTGCCTCAAAATCAAGAAAGCAAGCTAAGTTTCACCATTCTAATGAGGACTCGAAAGAAAAGGGAAAGGAGAACATTTAGCATAACAGACGACTATAGGAAGAAACCTTCAACAGATCATGGCCTCAGTTACCCAAGTAAGTGCAATGGTGGTTTTCTGAAGCATGATCCCTCAAAAGTATATAAAGGGTAAAAAGCTCCCTGTGGCACCAAGGAAGGTGGGCAGAGACGCAGTGATCTGCGATGTGCAAGGAGGAAGGAAGAGAATACTTCTATAGATTTTTGAGATATTGATTTGAAAAGAGAGTGAACACACTCATACCCATCTATCCAGCTGGCCGTTTATTCTCAATAAAGGCTTGCCGTAATGGTTCTTGGAAATGAAGCGTCCATGACAGACTGATGACAATGAAAGCTTGTATATGGAAAAGAAAGTAATTCATTTTGACACCACAGAGAAAAGGATGATGTTTGTAGGGGCAACTACAGCAGCCTTTTCATTCAATGGGTGAATTCTTACAGAAGGTGATGCACAGGTGCACATGTATGTACAGAAGTTGATGCATAGATGCAGGTGCTCACATTAGAGATACAGATAAAAGAAGGAAGGAGGCATTTTTTCAGAATGATAATGCCCATGGTATGGCACTGGTCAACCCAATTTCTCAGGAAAGAAATGGTAATAAGATCACCTCCAGCAGAGATGTTCATTCAATAAAACATAGGTTGTGCAATGAGTAGAATTAACAGATATAAGCAAACTCCAAGACTGATACCTTGCGAGAGAAACATGGTCCCCACACGGTATCATACTTGCTGAGTTCTCAAAAGATAAAATACAGAAAGAGAATGTCAGGGAAAGAAATGGTGGAACTTAGTTTAAACAGAAAGCGCAGGCTTTGTAGCAAATTGACTAACGGTCTTATAATATAGAGAGCTTAATACAGATTTGCTTTGGGATTCAGGGGAGGAAGCTTTACTTACAGCTGCCAAAGGTGCATTAAGTGAAAACCAATCACATAAGAAACACCAGGTGGGAAATGGAGGCCTCATGAAGCATTGAAGGAAATAGAGAGGTCTTCAGTAAGAGACTAAAGTGGATGTGGACCAAGTCATTTATGCAGAAAAGATGAGAGCTATAAAATGGCAGATGTAAGAGATGTATCACTGAAAGGCTCGTACAGAAAACTGAACGCTAGAGAAGTTGAGAAAAATAATTGATAAGCTGGCTTAAATCCACAATAATTAAACAAAAAATTGGATCATGTTGTAACCAATGCTATTACTGATGAGAAAAGAAGATTAACATGTAATCTGAAGCAAAGCTTGTGGTTTGAGATTTTACTACGAAGAGGCTGTCCCAGAGAACATTTGCAGCCGTTGGCACTGTAAATGAAGTTGAAATTCCAGCCACCCGCACAGAGGGAAGGAGAGCAGGAAAAAAAAAAGGTTCATACACTCAACCTGTGGAAGCATTAGGAGATGAAGCATTAGGAGATCAAGCAGAATAGTGGCATTAGGAGCATTTTTGAAGCATTAAGAAATGAAGGGGCTGAGGACAAAGAAAAGGACACCTGACTATTAAGGGTATGTACATCCTCCTCCGCATAAGTCAGAGCAAGCATCTGTAATAAAGACCCTTACAAAGTGAAAACTGGTTTTCACCAGGGCTCTGTACTCAACTTCCCTTTTAAATCGCAGGGACAGGTGTCACTAAAGATCTGAAATCATCTGCCCCATGGGTCATGCAATTTTTGCAAAGAGGCTTCCCAACGTGAAGCAAAATTCTAGCAGAATGAGAAAACTTTATAGAATGACAAAGCAAACTGTGGTCCACGGAGATGAAGATGCTAGAAAGCAAAGTGAGGGGGAAACCTAGCTTTCTCCATTTACTGAGATGCTCCCCAAGATTCCCGAGGGCACATCTCAAAGAAGAGAAAGCCATGCAGGAGCTTCAGGGGCCCGACCCTGCCTGGAAATTCACAGGGTTTGCAGGATTGGGCCTCTCAAGCCTCCGGAGCAGCCCGTCAGGGCAGCTGAAGGGTGCAGGAAGCTCTCCTACCATCAGACAGACGTCTGCCACAATCAAGTGGCGCAATCTATTACTGACATTGTAGTGACCACGAATTTTAGGCATTGGTGGCGCAACAAAAAGATATGGAGGTCCTTTTGCTTCACCTTTGTGACTCCATAAAGGTTCTTTTGGAAACACATGGATGTGGATGGGCAGTATATGTTTCCAATCTTAGAGAGCACTGAAATGTGCATGCTGGGACTGTTAAGCATTTGGACCAAATACAACAGGAAAGAGAGTCAGGCAGACTAATTCCCCAAGGGATGGTTTTTGGCAAATGAATGAATTGAAGGTGGTACAAACATGCTGGGACAGCAAAGGGGGATTATCTTGCAAAGAAATTGCTGGATATGGAAACAACAGGGGTTAGACCAAGGGGAAAGCCCCAGCAAAGGTGTCTGGAACAACCAGAAGAGGATATGAAGAGGCAAAGTTGGACAAGAGGCCTGAGTAACAACAGAGCAGTTGGGAGAAAGTGGATTTAAACCACCAGCCAAAATGCACGAGGATAGGACTGTAAAGGAGCAGGGAGAAGAACAGGGCATTTCTGATCTCACACAGCTTGGTGGCAGGGGTTGGGGGGGAACAAGAACCAGAACTTTACCCAGGGAAACAAGGGCTTTGTAATTCCTCAGCATCTGGTCCCGGTAAAGCCCCTTCTCTCTAGCTTCAAACAATTCCCACTCCTTCTGCATGGAATACACTGCCACGTCCTCAAAGGCCTCTGGGAGCTGCAGTCACAAGCATTACACCATCAGCATCTCCTGTTCCAGCCTCTTCTAGCCTTCACAAACCTGAGTCTTTACCCCTCAGCTGAAACAGCAGCTCCAGCAAAGGTCTGGCACGGACACAGCTCTACAGATAGAGCAGGGCTTTTGTTCGCTTGAGCTCACGTCATCCGCACAACTGTTCCCTCTCTTAGTATATACTGTGCCTATATGGGAGGCACCGCTACCATAACACCGCTAGCAGAGACTGCGGTCCAGGAACCCTGACTCTTCCCTGGGGAAGCTGTTCTCACGGCAGGGACTTAGGGCAGTGACACGTGTGGCCAGTCCCACTGCCCCCAGGTGTGCAGAGAGGCTGGGACAGCACGGCAGCCAGACTCCTTCAGCTGTCGCTGCCAGTGCTACCCCTGCTGCTGGCCCTGGCTCTGTTGCCCGAGCATCTTAGCTCATTCATCCCACGTCCACTGCCGGGGGTGCTGGACAGAGCAGGCAGACACCTTTATGGAGACTGGCTTGGGACCCCCACAGGCAGGGGATGAGATGGGCTGTGGGCAGGTGTGGATGGGATGAGATGGGGCTACAGGAGCATAGGGATTGGCATCTAGGAATGGGACAGGTGATTGGGGCTGAGGCTGGGGCCAGGATTGTGGGGTAGCCCTGATACAGTGGGACTGTGGAGCAGCGCGGCTTGGCAGCACAGGGCAGCCATGCTGGATCGTAACTGGATTAGGCCACCCCATGCTGCTGGGCTGCACTGCAAGACTGATGCACTGTACTGGGGCTGCCTGCACGTGCCTGTCCAGGTCATGGGTGTGTACTCTGCCCCCCTCCCAGGTTGGGCCAGGCACAAGCTGTCATATGGGGAGCAGCTCTGCTCTGGCCTCAGCCCTGTGCTGTCACCGCCCCATGATCCTGGCCCCAACCATGGCCCTGGTCCCTGCTAACCTTGGCCCCATCCCATCTGCCTGGCCAAGTGCGCCCTGCCCGAAGAGGTCCCAGAATAGTGTAGAATAGGGATGTGAAAGGTTAAAAAGATGAATCGTTTAACTGATAAACCCAGTGATAACTGGTTAGCTTACCAGTTATTGCTTAGCACGGGGAGTGGTGCAGCCTGGCAGGAAAGGGGGAAGGGGGAAGTCGTGCAGTGCCCCAGCAGGAGCCAGACCACAGCAGGACAGGCGGGAGGGAGGAGGGCAAGGGGGACTAGTACCCATAGCCTATGGAGTTAAAGAGGAAAACAGCAGGCAACCTAATGGCTGATCAATTAAGCAGTTAGCTGCTCCTTCACAGCTGCTCCCTACCTCCCAACATGGGGCTTTGCCAGGGCTGTGTTGTCTGGCAGGGCTTGCCACCACCTCCTTCAAAAGGGCCCCCAGAGCCAGCTCCCAGCAGCAGCTGTCTAAGCTGCTGTGTTATTGGTTAACTATTTGACTGATATAATTAGAGGAGATTAAACAAATTATTTTTTTAAACAATCTTTACATCCCTAGGTCAGTAATCTGCCGCGTAGGGAGTTTTGGGGAGCTGCTGCACGACCCCTTGCCCTCATGGGAGCAGCAGCCCTGGAAGTGCAGGCGCCAGGTCTCCAGGGTGGGGACACCACCACCTAGGTCCAGCTCCGGGATGGCAGAGAGCAGCTCAGCTGGAGAGGAATGCATCACCTCCTGCCGCTGCATCTCGCAGCACTGAACTGTCCCCTCGGGCCGCTCCTGCTTGACCCTTTGCAGTGCTGCCCATGTCAGGGACACTCTGCCTGCACCTGTGGGGACAACATGAGGGACTTCCCCTGCCCGGGGCCGGCTGGGTCCTGCTCCTCCATCATAGCCTGAGGCTGCACCGGGCAGCCAGCTCCATCTCAGTAGCCTGGGCCCGCATGCTCCTGGCTCGAGCACACGCGACAGCATCCGGGCTCCTGCCTGTGGGGTGGTGGTGGGGAGACGATTGGATTTTATCAAGTGATGGGGTGAGGGGCAGACCACGACCCACCACCCCTCAGCCAGCCCCACACCTGGCACTGTGTGGGGGTCCTGCCCTGCCCTGACACAGGGCCCAAAGGTGTGCTGCACCCTGGAACACTCCTCCAGTGCCCACAGCCCCGCCTGGTCCCAGCTGCTGGTGCCCCTCCCAGTGCCCCTCACTCCCTGCCCCTGCCC